TCCTTACCAGTTAAAAGTATCAGTAAGTTAACAGTATCCAATCCAAGAAACAGTTCGAAGCTTTATACTTTGATATTAATTTCACGACCACTAAACTGGTGCTCATTACTAATTGGTCAAAAGTTAAGAAATGGGGAGATGTTTGCAAAAGGTTTCTAGGTTAACAGCATTTTGATCTTTCATTTATAATTATATCATTTACTGTTTTCTTTTACTTTTCCATCCAATCATTCGTAACTGATTATTATCGGCAGTTTTAGATATGCTTTTGCTATAAAAATAAAGACAACATTGCACACCAAGTAAACTTAAACTGTGTAGTATCATGGTTTATACTGTCTTCTGCATGTTAGAAACTGTTGTGCTGATAGTGGTTGGAAATTTTCGGGCATCTGGATAACCACCAAGATTACCCATCCAGGTACCTGGGTAGGATTTTTGGTACCCATTCAAACACTAGAGAGAGCAACTGGATTTTCAGTAATATGTCCAGTCGAACTGTACTCTTCTTACTTGTGCAGTACGTCAGAAGTTCGTGCTTGGGACTATGCTCTTTCTTATTTATATTAATGATACTGATAGGGACATAAATAACAAATTAGTAAAGTTGCTGATGACATTATAGAGGTGAAAATTAAATGTAACTGTCACTAAGAAATGGATGTGCAAGTCCTTCATACTTAACAACAAAGAATATATTATGTATATAAAAAACTTGATATTGACCAAAGCGCAAAACAAAAAAGCACTTCAGTTTCTGGGTTTTTTGTAATCTACTTTACTTTTTTTGGGGGGGGGGTCATTTGTGCTAATTCTTTCATCATGACTTTTTGCTGTAATTTTATGACTTGACATAAACTTTCGGAACAAACTCGTCTATCACCATGATCGACCGTAGCTTACTGAAAACTGATAAAATTGATCGAAATACATTTTGCTACATATATACATTAAGGGATCACACAGTGCTGCTATGTTGAAATTCAATTATCACCAAATCCCAATGTTAGTATCTTGAACTATCAAATTTTCAGTAATAGTGTGGTCAAACCTATTAACCCTTTCTGCATAACCATTTTGTGTTTGTTATAGTTTTCATGCTATAACTTTTAAATTAGTAAGCATAAATTCACGAAATTTTGCCGATTATCAGTAAACATTACAAGTAAACATTACACAAAATATCAGATTTTTTAAGTAATGTTTTTCACAAGCCTTTTTTCTTTTCACATGTAGACTATCCAACATGTAAAGTAATTTTGACTTTAGGATTAAAAATACTTTTATGCATCAGAAAAATTTCGATTTTCATCCAGATAATTATCAAATGTTTTTTTAAAAAACTTTATTTTTTATCTGTTATTTTCACTATTGAATCTCTGTAAGGGTTCGTCAGATTTGACCGATCTCGTAACAACCATAAGAATTAGGAAATAAACATAAACACAAATGTTTAGTCTAAATAGCTTAAATCTCATAACATTATACATTTATATATATTTATTATTTTTATTACATTGACCTTTCAGCCGTGCCTGGCTAACATTATAGAAGTTAACATTTTCGAACACTGAAAATGTACTCCTGATAGGTACTTACTTTGGCTTACTTTGATTTGCCAGCGTTTTCGGATTTTATTTGCCAAAGTGAGGATTGTGCTGCAAGGGTAGAGGAAGCTACGTGTTCTAGTATAAGGGGCACAATGGGATTGGAGGAAGATAGTCACATTATCAGCACATGTTGCTGCAAGGATGCAAAATATATCAGGGTATAAAAGACTGGTGGCAAATGAAGGTCGAAATAGCTATGGAGGAGGAGTGGAGGAAGTACCATTTCAGAAATTACTGTGATGCAGTGCACATGCATTCATGTTACCATTTCCAAAACTATAAAACTGACCTTTACCAAGTGACCCATCTTGGCTGTGTTTTTGTGGACTAGTATTTTGTAAAATACAGTCACATTTCAGTTATAATACATTATATATGTATATACTTTCTTACTATTTACAAATAAGTTCTTAAACTTATTTTTTTTAAAACATAGAACAGTAAATAAGTAAGTATAGCAAACAATTATACCTTCTAGTTATGCACTTTGTACTTATTTGCTGCTTGCCATAGGTTGCTAAGCCTTATCAAAATTTCCAAGTAGAGGATGTTAAACAAAATAATTTTTTAGGTTTTATATATACATTTTGAAATAACCAAAAATCATAAATTACTATATCAAAACCATAGAATTCCACTATAATTTATCAAACTTAGTAATTAAGCTTTATTTGGGTCTAAAAAATATGAAATTTTGAGCTCACTAAAGTTACACCATACCTTTTCGAAACTAAGCTTTAAAAAAACAAGTTTGGTGTCTGAATAATTCAACTACACTGAGAAAGCCACTAGGAGGACATTCTGACTAACAAACTCAACAACAGAAAATTACACTGCAGTTTACCTTTTGTCCCTGAAACCAGCTCAAGAATTATCCACACTTGGACAAAACTAGCCATTAAACACAATATTCCAGTCAACGTCAAATTCTCTCAAAAATCCATCCCTAAATTAAAATCGTTACTAAACAAAAATTATTTAGAATCACACAATATCAATATCGCTTACAAAATAACATGCCATAACTGCCCAGAATTCTACGTAGGAGAAACAGGAAGAAAATTGGAAAACAGATTTACAGATCACAAAAACCATCCGATGTTTTCCACCATTGCAACTCAAAAAACCATAGTATATCTATTAAAAACACAGTCATTTTAAACAAAGAACCAAACATAAACAAACAAAAAATCAAGGAATCCATTTTAATTGAAGAAAACAACCCTACTCTAAACCAACACCCTGGGGTGCCAAGGTATCTCTTCTAAGTCGTGCAACAGTATCCAGTCATGTAACCTCTCTGTTCCATACTGTGTATATATAGATATCTGTGTCAGTGTAAACTACTTGTACCTGATGATGACAAAACCTTGTCAAAACGTTGTACATTTGCTGTTATGCTAAACTTATATTAAAGTTTTTCTTCATTACGCATTCAAGCTGTCACCAAGCATTAATAGTAACCATAAGAAACACAAGTTTTGATTAGTTCAATATTTTTTTGAGACATGACACTAATCAATTAAGATGAACAACCTCAAATTAATCAAAATCATGTAAAATCAAAATGATAATATGATGATTACTTGGAATGTTGGAATAGTCAAAAACAGTAATAATCGAAAACATCAATTGCAATTAGTTGATTATTTTTAGGATAATTATTTCTACCTGGAACTAATTAATGTAATCGATGCCCATAGGTAATCAGTTATATCAATTGAGGTATGCCCAGCTTTACTTACCAAAATGCAAGAATAAAAAAGAAATGTTGCCCTAATTTCAACATTTTTGGAACACATTATTTAGAATTCAGCTATCATATACAACCAAAGAACATAGGCAGTAGCTATATTTATGTCAATTGCGATGCAATTTTAATGACTATATTTATAGCAATACCACTACAGATGTACACTTACATACTTTTAGACATATTTTATAGTCTCAATTGTAAACAGTTACTGCCATAATTATGGCTATTGTTGCTTTGGTTATTATATTGCCAAATAACTATTAATGGTTAGGTTACAACGCTTTTGAGTCACAGACTAGGAGTATTGACTATTACTTAATAATTCTACACTTTGAAATACAGCACTGGACTAATCACTGCATGGAAATAGTGAATTAGCCACCATGTTTGATATCTCTCCTCAGTTTTAATATATACTTATGTGTAGCATTAATGACATAAACATAGCCACTAAAATCACATTACGCCTGGCATAAATACAGAATATTATAAATTAATAACTGTATGGAAATAGTGAATTAGCCACCATGTTTGATATCTCTCCTCAGTTTTAATATATGCTCATGGGTAGCATTAATGACATAAAGATAGCCATTGAAATCACATTAGGCCTGGCATAAATACAGACTATTATAAATTAATAACTGTATGCTAACTTTTGTGGCTAATTTAGTATACTTGTGGCAAATTCATATTAACACAAATTAGCCACATGACTAAGACCTTTAGGACCCTAATGCTAACACAGTGGTGATTTTATTTTCTTAACCAGGCGATTGATTTATGGAATGAGTTGCTGTCAGCAGACTTACTGGAGGCCAGCAATTTATGGGAGTTTAAAAGGAGAATTAACAATTCCCGTAAAAGTAAAAGGCTGTATTAAATTCTTACATGTTCTAAAGTGTAGGTGTGCAAGAATCAATATTATTCTTTGATAAGGAAACCAAATCTACATAGGATTCCAAAGCAAGGTCTAGCATGCGATTTGTACAAAAACAATAACCTCATTTGACTTGTATTCAGTATATATATATATAAATACATCATAAAATTATATTAGCTTTACTACTGCCAACAGAGAGCATTACTTCAACAGTTTGAGTGGCATATTACAAAAACATTTGTATTATAAGTTAGCCACCATGTTGAAAGATCCAGTCTACTTATTTACTACAAGTACAACTTGCAAGTACAATTTCACATTATAGCGGATCAAAAATATAAATTTTCAAAGTTCTTCATCTCTCCAAAGTCAGATAGACAATACATGGCCTTTGAAAGTTTGAGATTCTGAAGTTTTGGCCAATTTCATGCGACTTTCTTATGAAAATTTAAAGTGAAATTAAATGTGTCTTTTGCCAGTTTTTCTTCAGTCGCACTAATGAATGGGTTTCCATCTAAGTTGCATTAAACATGTTCTTAAGGCTAAGTTATTATATTAATATCACGATATTTTTTCTGTACTAGTTATAACTTGTATTACTTAGTGTTCCTATTAGTATTACTAGTAGTACTAATAGTAATACGTAATAGTATATGACTATGTAACTTTGAGTTTGACAGTAGACTAAGTTAAAAGTGAAATACTGTTAATACAACTTGATATACATTTATAAAAATATTTAAAATCTTACCGCTTGTTAGCAACAAGGTTAACAAATAATGCAGTGAATGATTTGAAATTGATATAAAAAAAACTACTCCAAAGTCAAAATCCCAAAAAAACAAGACACTCGACCAAACTAACACTCATTGTAAGTGAAGTATCGTAGTATTGGTAAATCAAAACGTGGAAAACCTAGAAAACGTCTAAATGTAACGGAAAATATAAATTTATACAGACGATAATAATGAACAAAATAATAAAATTGAGTGATAACTTCAGTATAAATTACTTATTTTTCATTGAAACGTATTTTACGTTTCGGGACACCTTTTAACAATATGAGAAATGAAGATTTGTTAACTTTCTCTGTTTTTCGGATAAACAACAAAGTTTAGTGATTAGGAGTACTTTAATTCGTTTTTTTTCCTTTTATGATATCGTTGAAAAATGTTTTTATTTTGTTTATTTTATTGCCAAATACCAGATCTAAGTAATACACAATTTATTAGTTTATTTCTTATGAAATATTTGATGTTTTTTATATGCACTGTATAGAGCTGCACTTACTTATGCCCCCAATAGCACAGCGGTATATTTGCGGACTTACAAAGCTAGAATCCGGGTTTCGATACCCGTGGTGGGCAGAGCACAGATAGCCCATTGTGTAGCTTTGTGCTTAATTAGAAACAAACAAACTTATTTATGTAATTACTATGCCACTAAGAAGAAATATGCAAGTGAACTTGCACATAATTTCAAACGAAAAACTAGCCTTAAGTTCTTTTAAAACTACATAGAAATTAACTAGATTATTTTTTTTTAAATTCTCATAATGAAAAATATGGTGAAGAACGTATTATATGCCCGCATATACCGTCAGCCCATCTGTCAGACATCAGTCTGGATACTACAATTATTAGTTTATACATCACTTGTGGGCAAAAAAAAACAAGCAACAAAGATTCAAATTCGATGACGAGGAATCCACTTTTAGACTAATAATGGTTGGAGACGGTTTGAATGGGTAATGAAGAAAAACTTTAAAATAAGTTTAACATAACAGCAAATGTACAATGTTTCGACAAGGTTTTGTCGTCATCAGGTGCATCATCAGGTGATGCAATAAAGATTGTTTTCACTTTTCTTCAAAGTGTCCAGTCTGTTTATTTTTCACACAGCTTAAAATGCAGTTGAGTTTTCAAATTCAGATTGCTCTAAAATTTTCTTGTTTGAGCTTACTCTTATTCAGGAAATCTACCTGATACTTCCATAAAAGTTATCTGAAAATATGATACACATATACAAGGGAGAGAACCCCTGAGGTACTCAAATACGTCAGTGTCAGATATATAGTTATAAGTACCCATAATACAGTAAAGTCCGAATATTTCATAGGATAGTAATATTTCAAACATGAATAGCAAAGGAAATACGAATACACAAGTAAACAAAATTATTTATTCACAGCGTTGTTTATGGAATCCAAGACAAATAGACACCTAAAAAAATGACGAAGGAGGACATTTAGACACTATTTGTTTATTATAAAATAAAACAACAATTACAATAATTTTCTCCATTATATGACTTATATATATCTAAGCCTACTGCATTACCAGTTTAATTTACAGCAACCAATTAAAGTCACTCTGCTAAATAGAAGCCAGCAGTTTTATTGCATCATAAACAAGGTAACAGGATCATTAGACATCTAACAAAAATTAGGAAATAGGACATTTAGACAAGGTAACAGGATCATTAGACACCTAAAAAAATGAAGACACTTAGTAATTTTAGAGGGGTGTTAATTAAAACTTAGCAAAATACTTAAAGAAAGAACTTGCTGATTCGCAACATATTTGTCTAGTTGTACGGTGTTTAGTTGTCCGGTTACCATGCAGATCATATAATGGAATATAATAAACCTAGATCTATGTAGGTCAAATAATGAAGTAGATATAACATTTTAATAAAATATCCCTAGATATATAAAGTTCATATAATGGAAGTTGTAGTCTTCGTAAAACACTATCACTGGTACAAGTATGATAGAAGGCTCCTAGCTGGGCGAACCATGCTCCACTGAAATTACAGACTCTTCTAATTCTTGAAAATTCCAAAGGGACTAGATATAGAATGCAGTGTTTAAAATGTAATAGGCCTAATACATATGTCTAATGACAAGTAAATTAATTATAATCATACTTCACCGGCATGAAAGTGTTGACACCATAACAAGCTAGTTTTTTGTTTTGTTTTTCGATATTGGCAAAAAGCTACACAAGATCTATCTTTTCTGGTTGTATCTAATTTTAAAGTGATAAATAAAATGGAAGGCAACTAGTCAACAGCCCCAACTGACAACTCTTGGGTTACTCTTGTCTGACCAAATAGTGGGATTTGGCTGTCATCCTTATAACACACCTATAATGTGTAATTGAACTGTGGACAGAGAGACATATTGTTGAGTCGAGCACGTGAGACGTTCGTTGTGAATTATAGCGTTTGTTATAGCGCGACTGTGGAAATTAAGTGTATTGCAAAGTTGTATTTAGAAAGAATAAACCATTTTTATTTAAGAAAGGACTTGTATCGTTTAAGTTTCTTCGGAAATAAATTATACGGGAAATTAACTAACGACCAGAGACGCAACAATATAGTAGTAAGTGGCTCACATAACCTCCTTCAAAACCCTTGGAGAAATATTATCTGGCCCAGGAGACTCTTCACTTTTCAAATTTCCCAATTTTTTCTTAACCAGCTCAAAATTAATACAGTCATCTTGTTTCATCTCGTTTCCATTTATCAACTGTTCAAGATGTGGAATATTGCTTATTTACACAAAGGTATGCGTATGACAGTAAAAGAAAAGAACTGTATGTATTACCTTCTTGCCGTCACTTCTTGGCGGCTTATATATACAAGACTACCGCATATCTAGTAGCCTCTCGAGACTTCACGAACCTTCGAGAATATGACGTGTTACTAGCGTCATGTGACCCCCGCAGTCGTAACACTGCCCCTTCCTTAGTATTGTTCGTCCCGAACAATAGCCACTTACATTAAACCAATAAACAATAACTTAATTAAATGTACAGAATTTACAAACACAAAATTAAAATTCAACATAGTCTCTTAATTTTACGGGACGTATCTTCTTCGGTACTGGTCTCCGTCTCGTTGGCTTCTGCTTCATCGGGAAACGTCCTATCATTGGTAACAGTCACATCAGTGGTAGTAACTTCATCAAGGGCTTTACTGTTTCCCTTCTCAAAACCGAGTAGAGTTTCTTCTTCTTCTACAGTGGCTTCTTCAGGTGACACGTCTTCAGCAGTGTCATTTGTTCCGTTGTTCTCATTTTGTACTCATCATGTCCAACCTCTATAATTCTTAGCTTAAAACTCAGTTTATTTAAATTCAACATCAATTTATGGTTTATCCTGCTGATACTTTCATTATAAAGTGGGCCTCCCTTTGTAGAAATCAATTTAACCTGAAAATACCGCATACATAATACAATGTTTTTTCAATCTGGAACAGACTTTCACCGACTTTTAGCCAGCATTTCTGAGAGCTTTTTCCAGTGAAGATGTAATAAACACATTCGTTTGGGCTTTGAATGTTTGCGTATAAATAAGTAATTATTTGACATTGTTACACAAACTTTGCTAAGCTTCTTTCTTTAAGAACTCGGTTAAAATAAAAAGATTCAGATTTATTCAAAGATACATTGTTTGATCAAAACTCCCATTATTCTACATAACACACCCTATTACTCTATGGAAAATCAGTGTACCTTAGAGTTCGTAGGAAGAACATTTTGTTGCCATGACCGCAGTGCTATGAAGAGGAATTCACTGATACACAATAAATCTCAGACAGGCCTCAACCCACAACAACTAACTCTTCATCTTGATCATAAGTCTTCTGACTCATCAAACATTTCATTTCCTTAAAGTGAAAAGCTTTAAACTCGATAACACGAGAGTTCAGAAGAGCATAAGGAAGTACATTTATGAGGAAATATACCTCCCCCCAAAACAAATCGTGTGGAGTTAGCTTGTCTATCATCTCCGTGTGTCTCCTGATTTGCCCCTGACTCATAGTCATCCTGGTGATATACTCAATGCTTGAAGTGGGATGGGATTCCATCCCATTTCTTTTAAGAAGGGCCTGAAACCATTTTGCTACCTTTTAGTAGACTGTAAGCTTCTCAGAAGGGAAAGGTTTAATAGACCATGCAGTAATTATTTATAGTGACAAGTGGCTGGAAAGAGAAACTTTTTTCTTAAAATGTTTTGTAATAATGAGGCAGGAATGAGACAGTAGTAATCCTATGGGGCAAATGAAACCCTCTATGGGCTCGGTCAATGTCACTGAGTTCATGACCACAAAGTAACCATCAATTTCCATACTATAATTCGTAAGAGTATACATCTGTTTATACTTAATTTTATTGTTGTTGTTTTTTTTCCCATCTGAACAGTGTCTAACTAAATATCCGGCCACAGAAATTGTAAATCACTCAGAAAACGTGCAGCTCACACTACTATATCGAATTACGTAATTCATTATCCTACCCAATCTAACCTAATAAGTTTCTAATTTTATAAATTGTAGTTACTTTTATAATAATAAATAAATAATACAGATGAAAAACAAGAAATATAGTACTTAGCTTCAACTTTTTCACAAACCATCCTGATTTCTCTTTTCCACCACTTTAGATACTGGGTGTACCTTTCTTCACATTGAGACTTACGACTGCCTCGAGAATCACCAATTTCATCTCCTAGGGAAACGGCCTCTTTCAGTTGGTCTCCCGTGGCCTAGAATAGAGTTGATATTGGGTTACTATTGGTGAATACATGAAAGTGATGTATAAACCACCCCATTCAATCTCTGACTTACCAAACTGCACAACACTTTGACAATACTTAATTGTCCATGGCTCCTATACATTGATCGATCAGCTATTCTGAATGTATTGAAATCTGGCAGTTCTCTTTCCCGAGTGTCCTGCCTCTCAAGGGAAGTTACCTAATGATAATCTGAATGTAGGGGTCTCTGAGCATCCCCTCTCCACCATACCTACAAAATCTAGAGCATCTCATCGTGGTGTTAGCCAAGAGCCTGTGGGTGAAAGGTTTATAC